ACAGTTATCTTAATGTCATTTCATATGATAAAATGTTCTTTATTTACGTAAGTATAATGTTTTAAGGAGAAAGTATTCAAGGTTGTAACAGTATTTATGATTGTCAATATTCTTGCTAAAGAAATATTTCCACTGGAATGAAATGACTCATAACACCAGTGTCAGCCCAGGTGATATCAATGGCATTCTGATGAACGTTCAGTATATTGTATAGGAACTGACACTGAATAATGGTGAAGGCATAATTTTTTACTAATGAGTTGGTGCTGTTCATCATTCAGATCTGGGAGTCCTTCAAAATGGCTTTGAAATACTAATAAGCGGTTTCATTCCATTTTCACTTTCATGGTATTGCTGTTCAAAGATGAAGAATCTCATCCTTTGGCGACACCTAAGAAACACTACTGAAAGTCATCTTAGGTCAAATATTTTCTATCTATGAAACAAAGTTTGTAAAATGTAAAAAAGTAAAGTAAATTTTGGTCTCTTGTACATAGCCACTTTAGTATAGCAAATACAACAAAAGGGAAGAACTGCTGAAAAGAACAGTCTAACCTGTACTCTTTCATTTTTTCATTTTCTATCGCATCCGAGATCCACGTATAAGGTGGTTGATGACTGACAGACAGATTGGTAATGACATTTGTTTGCTAAGTAACAGATTGGTGGTGATAATTATTTCAAATACAATGATTTCATCCAGTGACTATAAACTTCCCAAGTGCATCTCCACCACGATAAGAAAAAAATGGAAGCAAATTAATAAATAAATGTGTAAAAAAAAAATTACAATATAAATAAAACTATATATGTGGGTAGGACCAGAGATCAAGTGTTTTTTTTTTATTAAAAAAAACTTTATTTTTTAAAATCACATTCCTCCTGGCTAATTATTCTTTATTTTTGAATCAACAGGAAATCTTTTAACTTGTTTATAATGATAAAAAAATAAATATTATGTGTGTGTGTGTATGTGCGTGTGCGTGTGCGTGTGCGTGTGCGTGTGCGTTTGCGTGTGCGTGTGTGTAGGTAGTTTGTCTCCTTGCCTTACAAGGTAATTTATGGTAGTTTTAATGTCTACAAAACTTTTTTCACCATTTTCATCCTGATCAGCAGCAGCATCACTTGTGTGCATTTCCTCAGAAAGTCACATAATTTCTTAATTCTTATATACATGAAAATATTATAGAAGCTGCTAGGAAATATCTGTTGTTTTATTTTTTTCATTATTGGAAAGTACAACAGAAAAAAGTATCCTGTAAAGATAGTCTTGATATAATGTGAATATTTTTACTACTATTTTGTTTTTCTTTTCATTCCATTTTTTCCCATTCCATTCCAGAACAGAAGAATTACATTAATTAACTCTAGATTCCAGTACATTTTCTTGATATCAACATCACTTTTGTTTTAGGTTGCAATATTTGGCTAATTCCATTTCCCTCAGTATGAACTAAAAGGAGACTGCAAATTAGGTTATCTTCTGAGAAATTGTACAAAAAAAATTCAGTCCGTTTGATCGATTGAGGTGACACAAAAGACCCTCAATTCACCTGTTATCTTGTTATTTTCCTTCATATCTGTGCCCTCTTCCCCTCCCAACAATATAGGTTGCAAATCAAAGACACTAGATTGTGATTATATGTGTTTACTGATCATTGCACAGGGTATGTTCTCTGCAAGGACTGGGATGACTGCCTTAGGTGCAGTGTCTATCCCTTGCAAAACAAAATATTAATTTATTATTTTTCTATTCATACCTAATATTACAAATAAACAAAGAGGTAACATCGTGTGCGTGTGCGTGTGCGTGTGCGTGTGCGTGTGCGTGTGCGTGTGCGTGTGCGTGTGCGTGTGCGTGTGCGTGTGCGTGTGCGTGTGCGTGTGCGTGTGCGTGTGCGTGTGCGTGTGCGTGTGCGTGTGCGTGTGCGTGTGCGTGTGCGTGTGCGTGTGCGTGTGCGTGTGCGTGTGCGTGTGCGTGTGCGTGTGCGTGTGCGTGTGCGTGTGCGTGTGCGTGTGCGTGTGCGTGTGCGTGTGCGTGTGCGTGTGCGTGTGCGTGTGCGTGTGCGTGTGCGTGTGCGTGTGCGTGTGCGTGTGCGTGTGCGTGTGCGTGTGCGTGTGCGTGTGCGTGTGCGTGTGCGTGTGCGTGTGCGTGTGCGTGTGCGTGTGCGTGTGCGTGTGCGTGTGCGTGTGCGTGTGCGTGTGCGTGTGCGTGTGCGTGTGCGTGTGCGTGTGCGTGTGCGTGTGCGTGTGCGTGTGCGTGTGCGTGTGCGTGTGCGTGTGCGTGTGCGTGTGCGTGTGCGTGTGCGTGTGCGTGTGCGTGTGCGTGTGCGTGTGCGTGTGCGTGTGCGTGTGCGTGTGCGTGTGCGTGTGCGTGTGCGTGTGCGTGTGCGTGTGCGTGTGCGTGTGCGTGTGCGTGTGCGTGTGCGTGTGCGTGTGCGTGTGCGTGTGCGTGTGCGTGTGCGTGTGCGTGTGCGTGTGCGTGTGCGTGTGCGTGTGCGTGTGCGTGTGCGTGTGCGTGTGCGTGTGCGTGTGCGTGTGCGTGTGCGTGTGCGTGTGCGTGTGCGTGTGCGTGTGCGTGTGCGTGTGCGTGTGCGTGTGCGTGTGCGTGTGCGTGTGCGTGTGCGTGTGCGTGTGCGTGTGCGTGTGCGTGTGCGTGTGCGTGTGCGTGTGCGTGTGCGTGTGCGTGTGCGTGTGCGTGTGCGTGTGCGTGTGCGTGTGCGTGTGCGTGTGCGTGTGCGTGTGCGTGTGCGTGTGCGTGTGCGTGTGCGTGTGCGTGTGCGTGTGCGTGTGCGTGTGCGTGTGCGTGTGCGTGTGCGTGTGCGTGTGCGTGTGCGTGTGCGTGTGCGTGTGCGTGTGCGTGTGCGTGTGCGTGTGCGTGTGCGTGTGCGTGTGCGTGTGCGTGTGCGTGTGCGTGTGCGTGTGCGTGTGCGTGTGCGTGTGCGTGTGCGTGTGCGTGTGCGTGTGCGTGTGCGTGTGCGTGTGCGTGTGCGTGTGCGTGTGCGTGTGCGTGTGCGTGTGCGTGTGCGTGTGCGTGTGCGTGTGCGTGTGCGTGTGCGTGTGCGTGTGCGTGTGCGTGTGCGTGTGCGTGTGCGTGTGCGTGTGCGTGTGCGTGTGCGTGTGCGTGTGCGTGTGCGTGTGCGTGTGCGTGTGCGTGTGCGTGTGCGTGTGCGTGTGCGTGTGCGTGTGCGTGTGCGTGTGCGTGTGCGTGTGCGTGTGCGTGTGCGTGTGCGTGTGCGTGTGCGTGTGCGTGTGCGTGTGCGTGTGCGTGTGCGTGTGCGTGTGCGTGTGCGTGTGCGTGTGCGTGTGCGTGTGCGTGTGCGTGTGCGTGTGCGTGTGCGTGTGCGTGTGCGTGTGCGTGTGCGTGTGCGTGTGCGTGTGCGTGTGCGTGTGCGTGTGCGTGTGCGTGTGCGTGTGCGTGTGCGTGTGCGTGTGCGTGTGCGTGTGCGTGTGCGTGTGCGTGTGCGTGTGCGTGTGCGTGTGCGTGTGCGTGTGCGTGTGCGTGTGCGTGTGCGTGTGCGTGTGCGTGTGCGTGTGCGTGTGCGTGTGCGTGTGCGTGTGCGTGTGCGTGTGCGTGTGCGTGTGCGTGTGCGTGTGCGTGTGCGTGTGCGTGTGCGTGTGCGTGTGCGTGTGCGTGTGCGTGTGCGTGTGCGTGTGCGTGTGCGTGTGCGTGTGCGTGTGCGTGTGCGTGTGCGTGTGCGTGTGCGTGTGCGTGTGCGTGTGCGTGTGCGTGTGCGTGTGCGTGTGCGTGTGCGTGTGCGTGTGCGTGTGCGTGTGCGTGTGCGTTAAAATGGATTACAGTCACTTGATAAAATATATATACTATATATATATATATATATATATATATATATATATATATATATATATATATATTATATATATATTATATATATCTATATATAGATATATATATATATATATATATCATATAATATTCTGTTAGATAACACATAATTAAAACCTTACGATTTTTAATTGTACTAAAAAAAGATGCATTCGGTTTGTATGCTTTTAAGGAACAGACTAACAAAAAAAAAAAAAAAAAAAAAAAAAAAAAAATCAATAACAACAACATCCTTCAGTAACGCAACTATTTCCTTCGCCGTAAGAAACTGTTAACATACATGAGCCACAGGAGAAGACACCTCAGGGCACCAAAAAGTATATACACATTTGGCATATATATACAAGTGCAGGTCTACCTATTTATATATATATATATAAAGGGAGTTATGGTGGTTACAGCATTTTGGTCTCATTTTTTTCCTTTCTTTACTGAGGTTTTTTTTTTAATCATATTAACCTTGGAATGGATCAATTTGGTATCAATATTTGATGTATCCTTAAAAAAAAAGAAGAGGTGTTTAACAACTTTTTACTATGTGACACCTGCCACTGTCTTGATCATTTTTCATAATCTGAGACAAAACAGAAATAATAATCATCATGATAATAAGAAAGCTTCAACACTATTTTATAACAACTATGTACAAGCCGCAGTAATACACCAATGCAGTTCAATTCATATCATATCATGATGAAGATTTGACAGATGGAAAGAGCAAGAGAGAGGGAAGAAGGGGATAGAGAGAGAGAGAGAAAGAGAGGAAGAAAAGAAACATCCTTTTCTGCACCCTTTCTACTAAGTCTCCCCCCCCCCCCCTTCCCCACCTCCAACTCACTCCCCCCCACCATATCCTCCCTCTTCTAGGCATCACCAGCCAAGGTGAGACACAGGGCTCACTACAAAAGCATTGAAATGGATGTGAACAGCAACAAAATCTTTGGGAGAATCTGTTTGGTCAGGATTTTCCCTTTTCCATAAAAGCCCCTACTAGTCAAAGTATCTGCTGGTCTTTTTCTTTTTTCCCTTGTTACTAGGCACGCAGATGTAACACACTAAGTGAATAAGAAAAATAAAATATATATATGTATGTATATAATCACCTGTCTCAAAGTCTACCTAATAGCAAGCATATTGTCAACCTTTTGAGAGAAAAAAAAAAAAACAGATTGAAGTCTTCTTTTACAAAGCTTTCCCCTAAACAAGGCAGTTCTGGCTGCAGTGCCTTCAATCAAACTTGACTAGATTGCCTCCACTTCACAAGTTCTTTCATTATTGGATGGAACGTGCAGTCCTCTGTGCCTAACTCACTTTGCAACATCCTTAAACACATGACTTTTAGTCCAATATTAAAAATAATAAAATTAAAAAAACAAACAAGTTCCTTCTAAAAAGAAACGTATAAAAATAATAATAAAATCAATAAAACCCAGTTCACAAAACTACGCAAGATCGTCTTTAAAATTATGGAAAGTGTGTTGGTCTTAGAAAAGATAGAAAGGAAGGATAAAAGTATAGGAAAATGGCATCACTAAGCATGTAGCATTATTAAAATTTGTGCTACCTGGTCTACTGTATACAATGGTGGGACTACTTTCTCTTGTAATGACTACAGCAATTACGTCTCTGTCTTCCCTACAGCTTTACTGATGGCTTTTGCAGTAAAGACTCAGCTAGTTGAAATCAGGAAATAGTACTCACTATCAGCATAGAAAGAAAAAAGTCCAACAGCATAAATATAATACCAATAATTTCATATACTTATGTGTGTGTCTGTATGTGTGTGTGTGTGAGCATCTCAAACAGTATATGTGTGTGTATGTATGTGTATGTATGTGTATATATGTATATATGTATATATATATATATATATATATATATATATATATATATATATATATATATATATATATATATATATATATATATATATTATGTATATACATACATACATACACATGTATATATACATGTATATATAATAGATACATTGCACACTTTGCACATATATAATATATTACATATACACATACATGATACACACACACATGCACATACATACATTCATTTTTACATATTCTATTGTATGAACAAAATTCTCTTCTACCATTTCATCATTTAGCTTGCAGGATGCCAATAAAAAGCTAAATAACCTTCAGAAATCAGAGGACCAAAGATTAGTGGCACCTTCCTGTGCTCTCTGACAGTGACAAAGGCTACAGTTTTCTTCGTCTGATGTAGAACCCATAACAAATAAACATTAATTACCAACAACTCAATATTTCATTCCATTCTTACCTATAAATACTTTTGAGATTTAAACAAATTTGTTAACATGGGAAAACAATGTCTTCCTTGTCATGAACCATAAGAAAAAAGAAAAGAAAAAAAAAAAACATGAAGGAAAGAAAACCAAAGACTTTTGTCTATAATCTTCAAAATTTTAACAATAAAAAGTCGCGTCACTTATCGTAAAATAAAAGTTTCTCCAAGTTAAGAAAAATTCTTTGGTCTCCCTTTCACCTCAAAATGGAGGAGGACGAGAGAAAATGCCTTTCCCTCCCCCTCCTCCTGCAACAACTGAGATGACGTCCAACCTTCCAGTAATTGTCGTCGCTAAAATAAAAAATACAGAGACATGATGAAAAAATTACATATCACCATAGTCCATATCACACACTGTTCCACATCTTTCTCCCGGATCGTGACTCGCAATCACCGAAGCGTCGTTCAAACTGTAGGATTTTGTAGGGGGTTTTCCGTGATGCGAATATCCTTGACACTGGTTGTGGAGCCATTAACTGAGTTTAAGGATGCCTGTCTGGAGCCAATGCCGCGACTGTGGACCGCTGGAAGAGACACAAAGAGTCGAGTAAGGATTGGGCAAGGTGATATGCATTAATTAAGTTTCTCTTAAGGTAGCCCTGATACAAAGTGACTTTTCTCTTTCTTTCTTTTTCTTACAATATGGAAAGATGAATGTAAATCCTGAACTTTGAGGTGTTATGAGCATTACTTAAAAACAGCAATCCATAAGCTAAAACATGTTTTCTATGTATGACTGCCTTTAATACCACTGAAAAAAACAAAGGATGAGCATAACAAACGGCAAAAAAATGAGCTCATTCCTTTGAACAGCAAACATTGTGGAAAATCATGAGCACTGAGTGTCTCCAATTAATTGTTAGTGTCCAGTTAACGCCCATCATGCAAGAGGGACGACTAATGTAAATTTTGTTGCATCACATTGCAAGCACTCAATTAAATCATGCATCTAGTAACACTTCTGCAGTGTCATAATTTACTATGATGAGTATTCTTTCCAGGAAGTACATTTTGTTTGCAATGCTCAGTCATGCAAATAGAAATACAAATATTGCAAATAACTTTGCTAAATAATTATATACATATATACACATATACATATGTACAAACATATATATATATATATATATATATATATATATATATATATATATATATATATATATATATATATAAAATTTACATTTGTATATTTATATACCTATACATATGTATACATAACATACATATATACACATATGTATGTAGGTATGTATGTGTGTATGTAGGTGTGTATGTAGGTGTGTATGTAGGTGTGTATGTAGGTGTGTATGTATGTGTGTATGTATGTGTGTATGTATGTGTGTATGTATGTGTGTATGTATGTGTGTATGTATGTGTGTATGTATGTGTGTATGTAGTTATGTATGTATGTAGTTATGTATGTATGTAGTTATGTATGTATGTAGTTATGTATGTATGTAGTTATGTATGTATGTATGTATGTATGTATGTATGCATGTATGTATGTATGCATGTGTGTGTGTATATGTGTGTGTATATGTGTGTGTATATATGTGTGTGTGTGTATATGTGTGTGTGTATATGTATGTGTGTGTATATGTATGTGTGTGTATATGTGTGTGTGTATATGTGTGTGTGTATATGTGTGTGTGTATATGTGTGTGTGTATATGTGTGTATATTTATATATTTATATATGTATATATGTATATATGTATATATGTATATATGTATATATGTATATATGTATATATGTAACTATATAATTGTATATAATTATGCATAATGATATATAACTATATGTAACTATATATAACTATATATAAGTATATATAATCATATATAATTATATATATACATATATATACATAAGATAACACACTGAAATGCTATCACACTCATGCATTACTAGACTAATTGTCTGCATTCAGTCTATCAAAAAAAAAAATATATATATATATGGTCTTGTCTGTTTGTGTAAAGAGTTGATTAAATAAAAAATGAACATGTCTATGTAATTATCAGTATACATATATACACATAGATAAATCAATATATGCATATATGTATATGCTGACATACACATGAATATTTGAATATATAAATATATGGATATAGTAATATAAATAAACAAATTTATGAATACATAAATATATAACTATATTCCCATATAAATATATAAAAATGTATACGCACATATATACATATGTAAGTACATAAATATATAAATATATACATACTTACATAAATATATGCACATACAAATTTATGAGCGTATGTTTGTGTCCATGCATGTGTGTGTGTGTGAGTGCTTAGAGCCAGTTCAATAATCTGCAGCTGCCATATATACACAGCAGTAGTCTTTCAACTTCAGGAAAAATGTAAACACTTCCTGCCTTGTCCCTGTTCTCTTGAGTCATTGTTTCCTGACCCAATTATCCAGCCTAAAATAATAATAATAATAATAATAATAATAATAATAATAATAATAATAATAACAATAATAATAACAATAAAAACTAAACCTTTCACCAAAACAGATAGAAGATTAAAATTTGAATATCCAGATGCCATCATGTCTTTCCTCTTCTCTGAGTAAATTTCATCAGGCTGAGACGGACAAGAGGACAAACACAGAAGAATATACACATACGTTGACAAAAGAGTGCAAAAGAGTACTATTGTGTGCTATGTAAAGAGATTAACCAATGGCCCAGGAAACAAAAAGAGACACAGAAGACACAAAATAGATAAAAAAAAAGAGACAAACACACATACAGTCACATGAGCACAAGTAAGAGTTACTAGAAAAGTTACAGCTACGCACAGATTTAGAGGAGAAATAATAAAGACAGAGACCGAGAGAGAGAAGGAGAGAGGGGAAAAAAAAAAAAAAAAAATTGGCAAGAAACCATACACTAAGAGAGTAAAATTTTCTCTGTGTTAGTGCATGGTTTATAGTAGCTACTGAGTTTCTACAGTGTTCAGGAAACAAGTGGCTGTGAAGATGTAATGTAAAAAAACAAAGTCAAAGAATGAAGCTATTCAGAAAGAATGGGCATAATGAGGATTGGGAGAAAGACGTGAGATAGAGAAGAAAGAGAGGAGGAGGAGGAGGAAGAAGAAGAGGAAGAAGGGGAAGAAGAGGAAGAAGAAGAGGAAGAAGAAGAAGAAGAGGAAGAAGAGGAAGAAGAGGAAGAAGAAGAAGAAGAAGAAGAAGAAGAAGAAGAAGAAGAAGAAGAAGAAGAGGAGGAGGAGGAAGAGAAAGGCATAGGGGAGGGAGATGGAAAAGTGAAGAATGTGTTATCGTATAGTTACCCCACTGCAATTTGCAGAAAAATGCTATTCCCAAAATATGTCTCCTCACTCCTACATTTTTCTAAGTTCTGTTAACATAGATTAATGACAACATGTGAATAGTACAGAAAATAGCAAACCCAAAAAGTAGAACATTGTAGTGAATTTACAAGTCATTTACAATGTGTAAAACAAATTACTATAGACACAGACCACAGAAGTAGCATCTAACTGCATGCAAAGCAAAGATTGCATGATCATGCAGTCACACAAGCATAATAAGAGAGAGGAAAGTTAAAGCTATGTACCTGTACGTTAGGCCTGGCTAAGTTGCTGTAAATCTTCCTACTTAAAAACTAAATATATTTCTTCCCATTAAAATAATTCCATTATCATTATCTCAACTAAAATAACATTACTAGAGGAAACACTATGATTTTAACTAGAAACTATAACCAGAAGATAGTATTATATACTAATGACTAAGATAAAGACAAGAGTGAGCTATTTGGTAAACTAGTATCTATATTTTGCAAGAAATAACAGGTGATAATCATAGAGCAATATTCTAATTCTTCTCTTATGAGGAAAAATAGATCAGCAACATTCTAGTCCTAATAAAGATAATTTGTGTCCATAACAGCCTTCATTTTCCCCTATAATGATGGCAAATACAGAATCCAATCTTATAAAACTATCTGTGCACCAAGAGAAGAAAATTCTGTCCACACGGAGTTACTTTTCCCCCCTTGATAAAAATCCAGCAATTTTTCAGCAAAAAGTTTTGTACCACGCTGAAAGACTAATCTGTTGCTGATGATTTTGGTTGAATCTAAGCCTCAATTACCTAAGAGGAAAGTCCAATAATTAATGAAATTTAAAGCAACTTAAAAAAAAATGAAATGGATATTCTTTTTATATGATCTCTTATCAAGAGATACCACTAGTGACAATTAAATCTCTCTTGAATTGTCCAAAGTCCCCTTGGAAACAGAGAGAAATATCTAACACAATAGCCATTAGAGAACAGACAGTATCAGATATTATGATAATACTTAGAAATCACAAAATGAAAAGAAGAAGAAAAAAACAAATAAAAAGATAATAACAATAATGTTCCTTCTGTTTTCCTTTACATTAGGTTGTGAGTATGTATGTATATCTGAAAATCCATAGCTCAAACACATGCTATATTAAGTCTGAGTATGTGCAACTGCATAGGTATTTTAGCAAAACTAAAAACGTGTGTCTGATATTGTTCACAAATATGAATGTATGTGAAATAGAATGCTAATAGGAACATAAATAATTTCATGTCTGTGTTAGTGTGTAATAAATCATCAACATGGAAAAAAATCCCAATATAGAATGTGTATTAGAACACTGAGACAAAAAGAATACAGAAACATACAAAAATTTAACAAAAGAACACCAGTACATCATTAGGTACTCTTAATACAAACAAAATAAACAGAAAAGAAATAAAATTTATAGAAGAATGGCAAGTGTGAAGTCACACATACTCACCACTAGACCACTGATGATAAATCAACTGAAGCGAGAGACATTCACTTAAAGCTCGAAACCATCTCACCGAAGCATGCAATGCACTATCTACACACATTTTTTACCTGTCGCGCAACTTTACCCAAGCAGGTGTTAAAATGGCATGACTGGTGGCACCTAATCCACATCATTCAGTGCAAAAAGCAAAACGATTCTGAACGTCTAAACTAAATCACTTGTGAGAAAAAGTATTTGTAATGTACAGAGCTAATGTCAAGAAGATGATGAATGGATGAATGTGCACTTTGGCAGAAATTAGTCAACATCAAAAAATAAGAATAAACCTGAATGACTGGGAGGGAGGGAGGAGAGAAGCCGATACGAAAGACCAAACGGTGAATTAACGCAAGAGTATGAAAGAGCAAATGAGAGGAAGAAGCTGACCACTTGTCATCTCCTACGTGCAGAGGCCAATGACCAAAACAGCATTGCTAGTTAGAAATGCGGAGTAACTCTTACAACTTCCATTACAGACAAGTTCCCACTAGGGAGAACGTACCTGTGTTTTAGTAATTTTCAATGCATTACAATCACTTTTATTGTACTGTATGAGAGTAGTGATCCTAGACTCTTCAAGTAATGAGAAAACCTTTTTTACATTTAAGAAAATGAATCACTTCTTGGATCTTATGCCAGAGGGACAAAAGCACTAGCAATGTCATTTCTTGTGGTCCTAGAATGAGTCAACGAAAACAGCAACTGCTAAAACAAACATCAAATTCGATCTTATCCCTGGGGGGAGGGAGGGGGGGGAACCATGTACTAAAACTGCTATAATAACAGTCTTGGTATGAGGCAGCACGACAGGTATGAGGTTAGTTCAAATGCTGCCCGAAATAAACTGAAACTTACACAAAGCTTGTTTTTTTTGATGATGTGTGATGCGTTCAACACGATTTACCTTCTCCAATCGACACAGCGGAAGACCGGCGGGATCCACTCACCGCTTGGGGTTTAGGGGGAAACTATCTTTACCATCGACGGACATTATGAAGCTTTTATGATAAAAATATTATAGTCAAAGAGAGTTAAACATGCCTGGTTCAACCAACCCTCTCTTTTCTCTTTAAATTGTGACAGAAAATTTAAAATCTATCTAATGAAACTTATCTATAGCTTGACACAAAACTAGACAAACAACCTGTAAACATCTCTTAGACTCCAGATCAAATTCCATGGAGATCGAAACTTCGAAACTCTCCGTCAAGAACCTTAATTTTCCTTTACATACACAATGAAATTAAGACAAGACACGGAAGCAAAGTAGCAGTGATATTTAGTAAGTAGCAGACAAGTGAATATAGTAGAGTATACATGGTTGTGTGACTATAATGTAAATATATTTCCTACTGCCTTTTCTAGCAGACCACTAGCAAAGTTCTTTTCTAACTGTATGAAATGTAAATTTTCCCCTAAATTATAGACAATGTCTCATCTGCATTTAAATTACTTAATGTACCATATTGGAATACCTAGCTCTGGATCTATCAGAAATGTATTATCAAAGGCATCTCTACACTAGCAATAACAGCTTGCAAAACTTTCATGAAATCTTAACATTACATTACAAAGCTGATATATAATATTTCACATGAGATCCTAAAATTACTGAATGTCCATTAATAAATATCCTTTGAAATCACTTATCTGTCCATAACATAGGATAATGACATCCACAACAAAAGACCTTTCTAACCTGTTCAATAATACTTACCACACATGTAAATGGAATTAGAAATCAAACAGAAATTTGTGATGTATAACCTGCCACACATAAGGTTCAGATTTTTTATCTTCTAAATATCTTCCTAAAACTCAATTCTTCTCTTAAGAATATCAGAACAATAGAAAGAATCCAGGTAAATCCTGAATGCTCTGAGGAAAGGCGTTGAAACCTGAAAAGGCCCTTGAAGCCAACAGCGGCAGGAGAAACAGCATCAGCAGTAAACATTTAGCATTTGTTTAAGGCTCTGAAATCCGCTGAGATAAGCAATGAAGCTCAGAGAGTCAAGTAGTTTGATCACTCCATTAAGAAAAGGATTTAATGTTCCATATGTTAACTTCATTAAATGCTGTGATAGTTTGTTTTTTTTCTTGTTAAATAAGAAACTAGCATCTCTGAGTTATGAGAGAAGTTCATGCCCAGAGTTGGTAAAGCTAAGGACTGAGATAGGAAAGAGAAGTGCAAAATTTGATATGGAACTTTATACACTAATGTTCCTTACTGCCTATTTTTCATCACTCATCCTACAAACTTGACTAATGTCCACTCGGTTCTGTTATATAATGTTGACTTGATTAAAAAAAATATTATAATATCAACTTCCAAAAGGTATTATCATAAAAATGTTAAGCTCACCATACAAAATGATTGGCCATTTTCCCTTGAAAAAACATTAATAAATCAAATGAGACAAATCAGTAACTTTGTGCACAAACCACATTAAATTCAAGCACACGCACACTCAACACAAAAATTTGTGCACCTACCTACAACTACATTTATAATCTTACATTCATCAAATTAGTAGACCATAGACTCTAACAAACTCCCATCCTCACATCTTTCAGTAAAATGCTCTTGTCAGAGCCATGGTATATTTTTCCTCTTGTATTCAATTATTGGTTTATCCACACACCAATACTACTACTCAGAGGCAAAACTAAACCTGACCACAGTACTCAAGTAGACCTGCCACACTTCCAAACATAATCTTCAACAGCAAATACAAACAAGACCCACATCCACACACCCACCCACTCCCACACACCCACTCCCACACACCCACTCCCACACACACACCCACACACACACACACACCCACTCCCACACACACACTCCCACACACACACTCCCACACACCCACTCCCACACACCCACTCCCACACACCCACTCCCACACACCCACCCACTCCCACACACCCACCCACTCCCACACTCTATACTTAGATTACCCACAAATGCCATTACACCATCCTGCCCTGCTCTCCTATACTGTTAAGCATACACTGTCCCCTATCTAGCACCACCTTACCATAGCCTTGACCCTGGAGGAAGAGTCGGAAAGCTTCCACCACTTTCCCTGGGGCCTCATCAATCACCAGTCCACAGTCTTGAATCTGGAAGTGACCAACAGGAGGAGTAAGAAACAAATACTTGATAGCATTATCTGATGGCGATTCCATTCTTGTGAGGGAGGGAGAAAGATACTGTTAGACAGATAGTTTTGTGCTTATCCAGGTATATATCAGGACTAAGGCTCAGAAGGGAATTTTTGTCAAAGCATATAAATAGGACCAAATTCTTCTTACCTCATTTTTTTTTTTTGTAATAGGAAAAAATTGCATATATATATATATATATACTAACACATTCATGTAAATAAATAAAAAATATACAAGTGATATTCCCCTCTCAAGTGTATTTCAGAAAAAGAAAAATATAATGCACTCTCAAACTGAAAAAACACAACCAAAACCATTGAAAAAAAAAAAAAAAAAAAAAAAAACACCAAATTACCTTCATCCATGTAGACAAAGTGGGGTCAAGTCTTCCATTGAAGGTGACTGTATCGTCCACATGGGGAGAGTGGTTGGCGGTGATGTTCAACACTTGGGTCCTGATCATTCGCACATCCTGGAATAATGGTCAGTGTTGTAGAATAGAGGGAATTACATATAGACCTTAAACTATTTATATATCACAGGTTTAAGCCTATACTATATAAAAATGTCTCTTCCTAATGTGGAAAGTTTAATATAAACTACAATCAAATCAGATAAAAGTTTATGACTTACACCATGAACAGCAAACACACAAAATAGTTTGATCTTAAAAAGCCCTGTGAGTATATGAGAAGGCCATTTGAAGATTTAACTCACTGATGCCAAGTACACGCACTGTCCACTACACCTTGGATTTGTCAATTTTGTTTACACATAGAGGGCTTCACAAGCACTTAGTCATCAGGTGTCTACAATTATTCCTACCTGACTGACCTCACCTGCATATCCCCCTCCTTGAATTTCCAGAAAAAAAAGTTATTTCTAATACTATCATTACCATTATCAATGGTACTATAATTAATGATACAATCATCATAATATTTTTTTTAACATACAAACACTATTTGGGAAAAATCATTGTTTACATACAACAAAATAATCCAGGGGAAAGGGAAGGCTAAAAATCACCTCAGTAAAAAAATCACTGCAGTAAAATGCCGAGTGATGTCCAACTTACTGAACCAATAACCTACCCCCAATATCATTCCGAGGATCCAGGCTACCCCCAACCAAAATGCCTGTTCTATTGACTCAAAGCTGTAAAAACAATTAATGCTTAACAATGTCAATACCTTCTTCTTGTTGGGGTCCAGCTCACGCACAATGTTGAGGTCAGTCCGGCGAATGTACGAGTCAACAAGCAGGCCGAGGTTCGTGGCATTCAGAGCCTTCTCGAAGTGTTGCCTGTACACCGTCACCAGATCTTGGTTGCATTCCTCCAACTTTCCTATTTGTAGAAGAAATGATGATTATAAAAATTCAATGAAAAGTAATGTAGGGAAAGTATAAAAGACAGGTGAAGGAGAGTAAAACTAAAACAGGAGGAAAGGTGAAGGAAAACTAGAAGAAAATAATAAAAATAGATAAATAAAAACAAGACTGAATTCTGGAACCAATATGAAAATATAAAAATATATATATGAAAAAAAAAAAAAAAAAAAAAAAAAAATCTGATCAAAATATTGAAAACACTAGTTTTCAAATGCTAATAATAATGATAACCTGTTATACATTCAATTTAGCTTGAGGTCTGCACACAAGAAAATAATATTCTTTTTTTTACCCTGCACTGAATCAAAGAAAATGATGACCACTTAAAAACAAACAAACACATACAAACAAACAAAAAAAGACAACAAAAATATCTATTACCATCCAATAACAAAACAAATTAAAAGAAGAGAAAAACACAAAACAGTAAACTAGAAACCCCATTCAACCCCCAAACACCCACCCATCCCAAAATCGAAGTTAAACTCTTCTCTTACCGAAATGGTGCCAGAGGAGGTAGTCAACAGTGCCCGTCGTCATTGTTCCAGAGCGGAGGTGTCGGATGTTGAGCTTCTGGTAGCCCCATTCAATCCATCCGGCTTGGGTTGACGAGCAGTTGATGAGAACCAGAGCATCAACCTGGGAACGACAGGGAAGAAGTTTAATGAAAGATAGAAACAAAAAAAAATAATGCAGTATAGAAGCCACTGTACCCCTTTGCTTGTTGCCTTTTTATCAATTTCATTTTATTCTTCTTTATATGATCTTCCATAATCCTTGTTTGTATCATTTCATCATACTATAAATGAGTAATGTTGAACATCTTTATATAAATTTACACTAGTAGAATACAAAAGAAATAATTTTAGGATCTAATTTACCAGCAGGAAAAACATATGAAAACTAATTCCTCTTTCTTGTCCACTCATACAAAATGAGATTCATCTTATATTGCTATTATCTTTCGAACAAAGAAATCCGCAAAATCAACAGAAGAAAAAAAAAAAATTGCACCAAAGATGCACAACACTCACATCTGCAGGATACTTGGTGGCGTAGCGAGAGAGGACATTAGCGCCAAGACCCACGCCAAAGCCAATGAAAGTTCGGATGTGGAAGTGACTCTTGACACAGGTAATGGTCTCGGACAATTCCTCCATCGTTGGGTAGACATAGCTGTTTGATAAGATACACATATATTGTAAATTAGATAGATTTCAAAATTGTAAGATGAGAGAATCTGATGTTTGTAAAATATTTAGTTGAAAAAAAAAAAGAGAAAAAAAAATTATATGCAAAAATGGGAAATATACCAAAACATATTCATGACCTACAAAAGAGAATATACATAATATATACACTACACAATACATACAATATAATATCTACAGAAAACCAAATCTTATAAATGAATCTAGTTACACTGAATAATAAATATCAATAATAAACAATAGCAAAAAATTAATAGGCATATATCAATAAAATAATAACAATAATCACAAAAACATGAATGGTTACAATACAACAGTGCTGTTTACCCTTCCGGCAGAGTGGGTGCTCCTTCCTCCTGTCCGGGCGCATTCACGTGTACAATGCAGAAGTTGTTGACAATGTTCCTCATCTCGGGATAAAGGAAAAATGCCTGAAAATAGAAAGATGGAGATGAAGCACAAAATAACAATTTTCATGGCATGGGTGAATACACATATAAGTGAAATGACAGGACTGAAGAATGTTCATTTAATCTTTGTTCTCTTGCGTTCATGTTACCTCAAACTATGCAAACTATGGCTTACTATTATTACCAGTCTCTTACTTTGTCTCCTTTTGCCTATTTCTCTCTCTCTCATCTTTGTCTTCCTCAATACCTTTCGAGGTAGTCAACCACTTCTATTTTCTCTCCCTTGTTTTCTAATTTCACTTTTCTCTGACTATTTCTCCCTTCCACTCTAATTCGCACTATTTTCCCATCTACATCTTTCCTCCTATTTCTCACCTCCTTCTAATCTTTCCATTCGGCCTTTCCTTTGGTTAATACCTTTCTCACTCCCTCTTTCTCCCTTGTTTTATATTTCTCCTTTCTCCCTCTTCCTATTTTCCTTTCATATTTCCCAATTCTCTTCTCTTCTCTTCCTCTTTCTCCCTTCTTTTCTAATCCCCCCCCCCCTTTTCACATTTCTCCTAACTCTCTTCCTCTTCCTCCCACTCACCCTTTCCTATCCCCACTCCTCTCACCCACTTTCCATGCTCCCTCTCTCCTCCTTCTCATGCTCCCTTCTCCATTTCCCTCTCCATTTCCCTCTCATGCTCTCCATTTCCCTCTCCTGCTCCCTCTCTCCTCCCTCTCCATTCCCCCCCAAACGCCACCTACCTGGAAATTAGTGACATGGTTGAGTCCGAGGTCATGGTAGGTCAGGATAACTGGCTTGGAAGTGTCGCCGGTGATGGCCACGGTGATGGGTCCGTGCCGCGTTTCCACCGTCTCCTTGTTGCCGGCCGACCCATCCTCGCTCAGGGTGCGAGCGTTGGCCACGGAGAGCTGGACGTGGCGCAGCTCAATGTCATCCAGGGCATCGCTTGGCATGGTCCTAGAAAGGGAGAGAGAGAGAAAAGGCACAAGTTAGAAGGTGTTGTTGCCCAAGGTGGGGGGAGGTGATAATACCTGATGATCTGTGTGCTTTGATGATGATGGAGAAAAAGGTGGGTTATTGGGGTGAAGGTGAATTTTAATATGAGAAACAGTGTATGTGACGGCAAGAGAAAGAGTTAGCAAGCAAACGAGACAGACGGAAAGAGAGAAGAGAGAAGAGTGAGAGTGAGAGTGAGAGTGAGAGTGAGAGTGAGAGTGAGAGCGAGAGAGAGAGAGAGAGAGAGAGAGAGAGAGAGAGAGAGAGAGAGAGAGAGAGAGAGAGAGAGAGAGAGAGAGAGAGAGAGAGAGCCTGTGAAAATGTGTGTCACGAATTAAACTCACAATACCATAACAAGCCTATGAAATCCCTCTTAACCCAATGACGCCGGGTGTACAAAAGGAAAATAAAACTCTACGCTCTGGCAAACAAAGGCGGCGCGCCGACTTTGAGCGCCGGAGTACGGGGCGTCAGCCCGAATCACTGGCTCGCCGCGCTTTGGCGCGCCGCCGGCTGGTTTGGCCGCACGCCACCTTTCGAGCGATTTGTTTACACGCGTATCGCCGTCACCCGGCGGCAAGGGGTTAACATACAAATACACAAACAGAAATCAAGTAATGCAAGAAATCGGGAAAAATTCCCTTATCACCATAATCAATAATCCACACTTCCCTCCCCCTCTCCCCCCCCTTTAAATACCCACCCATATCCCCCAACCCCTACAACCTCCACATAACCTCACCTCATCTCCCCTTCAATAAAACGCAACTCCAACTCAACTCCAACTCCCAAGTCAACTCCAGCTTCTTAATTCTCCTAAAAAAAACCCTCAATTTTCCTCCCAAAAACGCCAATTTACGTTCCCTCTCGTCCCCTTCCTCCTCCTCCTTTCCCCTCGAGCCAGAAACGTAAACAAAGCGAAACACGCGGTGAGGGGAACGGAACGAGGAAGGACGAAGGGGAGAAAAAGAAGATAATTTTGGTGGATTGCTTGGTCTGAGGGAAGAGGGAGGATGTATAATAAATGGAGGGGGGGGGGATGAGAGATAGGAAAAAGGTAGGTTGGAAGTGAGAAAGGGAGGAAGGAAAGGGGGGAAAGGAGAAAATGTTGGGTTGGGTACGAAAGCCTGGTGAAAATAACGGATTTGCACAAGGGAAACCGAGCTCAGTAGAATGGAAAGTTGTGAAATTTATATCAAATCTATCAAGTTCCTCATAATAAATGCGCAGGATTATAAAACATTGTTTCCGTAATTAAAAGTATCTAAATATTAGCACCAAATCTGAAATTAAATGTGTGTATATATCAAAGTTCTTTTGTTATTTATGACTATCAAATCAGATTGATTCCTTTCATAAGTCACTTTAACGATTCCGTTATATACTACACATCCCAATTAGTTAAAAATAGGTAAAAAAACAAAAACAAAAACAGTGACCCTCTCTTATTCATCTCCCTTTCTCTCTCTTTTCATCCCATAAATAATAGTGTATATATAAAACAGACACACACACACACGCACACGCACACGCACATACACACACAGAAAAAAACCCGACACAGAAAAAAAGCAGACACAGAAAAAAAACAGCCACAGATTGACACAGATTCTCCAACAACAAAAAAACACTCAGGCCTATATAAGGATTATTTTCACCTGCCTATGCTCTCTAAAAAAAAATCCTATAAAGGAGGCCCACTTACAGGTCTAACGGCACTGGTATCTCATCAGTGCCAAAAGTGGACTGCTGGAAGACAGCGGTCATCATCGTGAATAATCCAAATGTATGGAATTCTTGATCTAAATAGTTTCGATGTTTTGCTGTTGTTTTTTAAACGAATTATGTCTTGAATAAACTTTCCTTCTTGCTTTCACCCTCTTTTTTTCTTAGAAGAAATACGTTATCATCTCGGACCTACTCCACGAACGTTTTCTTTCTCTTCTTTTCTTTTTATCTATTAGTCCCGTTTCGAAACAAAAAAACAAATTAATATATAACCACCACCGAAAACGTTGCAACAACAGATCTTCCTCTCGGGTCGAAAAGTGCACACTCCACCGCCACCCTTTTGAGACTGACCAAATAACTTTCTTTTACTTCCTTTTCAATTCACCACCAGAGCCATTATCCCCGTCTCTCTCCCTCTTTATCTCTCTCTCTCTCCCTATATCTCTTTCTCACAGGTCCTGAGGTTCAAGGACAAAACAGGTTTTTACTGTACGAAAGAGGGTGGATGTCGTAAGGGTGTTGAAGCAACGCAAGGGCATGGGAACTTCGCCCTTCTGGACTGCGCGCTTCGACGGTAGAACGTATTATCCCGGGCAATCAGCTGACTAGAAAGTGCGTATATGGGATGGAAAAGAGAATGGGGAATGGGAGGAGAATGGGGTGGGTGGGTGAGTGGAGATAGAGGGAGTGGGGATAGATAGATAGACAGATAGAACGATAGACATAGAGA